GGTTCGATCCTCAGCACCACATAAAAATAAATAAATAAATAAATAATAAAGGTATTGTGTCCAACTATAACTAAAAAATATTAAAAAAAAAAAAAAAAAAAAAGACCAGCCCAGTCCAGTGAAACTTGCTTTAGGTGGCAAGTTTTCAGAATGTCACTTCTGAGGTTTTTCTAGACTAAGGATTGCTTTATAGAAACTTGTTTGGCAAATATATCTTGAACTGTTTGTTACTGGGGATTGAACCCAGGGGCACTCTACCACGAGCCATATCCCCAGCCTCTTTTGAGAGAGGGTCTCTATGTTGCTGTGTCTCCCTAAATTGCTGAAGCAGGCCTGGAACGTGGTGATCCTCTTGCCTCAGCCTCTTCCGAGTCTCTGGGATTACAGATGAACACCACTGTACCTGCCTCTTGATAATTTTTAATAACATGGAAACAAATAAGATAGCTTTTTAAAGGAACTTACATTTGAATGAGATTAAGTAGGTGAAATTCTAGCAGGGTCTTTTGAAAGGTTGCAACAGCAATCGTCAAAACTGCAGTCAAGATTGGCAGGACAGTGGTCAAGGTTGTAATGACAAGGTATTGGATTTCTACCTTGAAAAAGGAATGGAAATGTGCTGAATTGATTAAGTGCATTGATTTAAGATTCTTTATATTTACAGACTGCAGACGATTGTAGATCAATAGTGCAAGTAATTTTCTTCTTTATAGAATTAAAAGAATCTGCAAAATAGAAATTCAACCAATACTGTGCTGGTGGCTTAGAATATAACCCCTTATCAGCACCATACTTTTGACACTTCCCATGCTCTGCTAGCTCAGGGGCCATAAAAACTATATTAGTGCATGTCTAGTTCTGCAATAAATAAAGTTATTTATTATCTTCTAACAGGTGAGATAAAAGATCAGCATTTATGTCTGGGATTAACTAGTGAATATAGGCCACTCTGTGATACCCTATGGGACATAGCATAGTTCGGGGTTTAAGGCTCAAAGAAAATCTATTTTGAGAAATGTATGCTACAAATACTTTGTTATGAGCAAGTGTGTATCCTAATAATGAAGATATCTTTTCCCTCAGTCCCTGAAGCATTAACTATTAGATATAGCATTTCTTTTCCTTACCAACCTGAATCCTATCAACTGAATATCTTCTGCCTCTATACTTTTGTTTTGAAATGTAGCTTCCAGTCCCATTTACTATGCTGTTTTGACATAATGAAATGAAGATGAATGTGCCTATTTGTGTGTCACAACCATTTTGATTACAAGTATTTAAATAGTATATAAAATCTCACTGAAGCATGTAGTTGGGAATATGAAAATGTGGTTACACCACCACCATCACATGATTCTACAAAGATTGAAACTGGCCATTTTTCTTCCTTATGAAATTGGTCACAATGAAAATGTGCATTGTGTTCTCTTCATTCTTTTTCTCTTCTCTCGTTAATTCAGCATCCTTTTCTTTGTTTCCATGGGTAGTTTTCTTCAGGCCTATCCCCTAATAATGGATACCTAACATCTGTGCCCACATTCTAAACACCTTTGTTAAATTCAATATCTTTTATAAAAATCCATGCACATTTTAGGAAGTCAGGAGCCTAATAAATGTTAGCTAAACTCATCATATGGCCAAATCTCTTTTTTCCTATTGCTTTCACTTTTATTTTGTCAATTGCCAATTATCTTATTATTTTTTTTAATAATGAGAACTTTATTTTTTCTTATTAATCTTGAAACTGATAAATAAAACCATAAAATATACATACTAATGGGGTACCATGTAATATTTTGATACATGTATACTTTGTGTAATGTTTAAATCAAGTTAAATATTTATTATTTCTTTGTAGTGAAAACTTTTAGAATCCTTTCTGCAAGCTCTTTGAATTTTTTTTTTTTAGTTGTTATTATCTTCAGATCAGGCATTATGGTAAGAAATGAAGAAATCTCATTTTTTTTCTTTCACTACCCAATGTTCTATTTTGATAAATGCCAAACATATGAAAGTTGAAATAATTACACAGTGACCATATGCATACCCATTAATACATATTCTACAATGAGTATTTTAATATATTTATTACCCAACTATGTGCATTTATATCTTATTTCATCCATTCATCAATCCAACTTATTTAATGCAGTAAGTTGCAGATGTTAGTATACTTAATAATAAAGGCTTCAGTGAGTGTATCATAAGATTTTTACATAGGCTTACAGTTCTCTGTCTTTCCTTAATAGGTACATATAATGATCTAAAAAATATTGAGCTTACCATTCACTGAGTTTTGACAAATATCTACTCCTGCATAAAGTGAAACCCCTCTCATGACATAGATCACTGCTATCACCCCAGTAACTTTCCTCATACCCCTTTCCAGTCACCACCTCCCCCAACCAGGGTTCTAATTTTTTTCTACCATGTATTAGTTTTGCTATTTCTAGATTTTTACACAAATGGAATCATAAAATATGTGCCTTTGTGGATAAGACTTCTATCATTTAGCTGTATGTTGTGTGTATCAGTATTTCCTTTTTATCTGTTGTATGACTATGCCGAATGGTCTTTCCATTTTCCTATTGATGAACAACAGTGGTTTGTGGCTGTGACGAATAGAGCTGCTAAGAGCATTTTAATGCAAGCGTTTTTGTGGACATATGGATAAATAATACTTAGAGTGGAATTTCTGGGTCATAGGATATGTGTAGCTTAATATTATAAGAGACTATCAGCTTTATTTTTCAAAATGATCATGCTATTTTACATGACAGCCAGAAATGCATGAGAGTTCTGGTTGCTCCACTTTCTTGTCAACATTTGGTGCAGTCATTCTTTTGAATGCTCAGTTTTGGGGTGGGTGCATTATGATACCTCATTGTGGCATTCATTGACATTTCCCTGATGACTAACGATGTTCAGTACTTTTCATATGCTTAACGGTCATTAGTAGGCATTCTTTGTGAAAGGTCTTTTCAAAATCTTTGACTACTTTTTATTGGGTGGTTTAGGTTTTTGTTGAGTTATAGAGACTCTTTATATGTCCCAGATATCAATCTCTTGACAGATGCATGTTTGTGAAACCATTTATCCTTTGATTTCATCTATTTTGACCTTCATTCTGTAGCAAAAGTGAACCTGTGCCAAGCAATGTCCAAAGATCCTTATAAGTTTGTGAGATAAATATCTGCTGGGCAAATATTTCTGGGAAAATTGTGCCATATCAAGGACACAGTGGCATGCTGGAAAACTGGTGAGTGTCAAGGACTGTGCCATTTTGTCCTTATCAGTGGTTATTTTCAGTATGGAAAATAGTGTTCACTTTCCTAGTTTAAAACCTTCATTTTATCTAGCAGTCTGTTTATAAAGTAATAAAAAATGAAATAAAGCTAAGAGTAATTATAAAAGAGGAAATAAAAACCCAATAAAATTTTTTTGTTTTACTTTATACATAGTTATCTAGGGAAAAGTAATTAGTATTACTTGTGATTGATGGTAATTATAAAGTTGATGAGAATACTATAAATTTGTGAAGCCATCATTTTTTTTCCAAAATATTTTCACATATTCTCTACATCATGAAATCAGGAAATACATTTTAGAGTTATCTTCATCTCTAATAAGAGAGAATTAATACTGCAAGTAATGTAGCCATTTTAAGTCATACTCAGAGTTCAGTTCTTACAATCAAATTGAAAGTCTAGGAGAGCTAAAGTATTTTTGCATCATTCATTGCTACATTGTAATTCAGAAGATTGGTAACAATCCTAGCATCCACTTACAGAGACTGGTTTAAATAAACTGTTTCAGCCACACTGTACATTGGCATGCTTTACTTTGTCTCTTTCTACTGAATACTTACATTGCTTTATTTTTTCCTCCATGACTTTATAACCATAAGATTTTTACAGATGGAAAGAAGTTTGAGTTCAAACTTTTTTGAGAGAAATTTTACATTTTACAGAGAAGACATGGATCTGAGAAATTAAATAACGTGCCTCAAATAATAGAACTCAGAGTTCTGGGAGATAGGAAAAAATATCCATCTTCTGATTGAATAGACATTTGGTTTTGTGTTTTTTTCTCTAATGTCAAGCCCTGTGGATTTGCACGGTAAGTAGATTCTTAAATTTATCCTTTCCTTTCCACTGTTTGCCACCTCTAATTATATCAAAACTGAATTACCACAACATCCTCTTAGCAAGTCATCCAGACTAATCTTTTTCCTTCAAATCCATCCTGCACCCTTTTGTGTCACTAATTTTCCCAATATAGACCTTTATCAGGCATCCATTTACTCCAGAAGTTTGAGTGGTTTTGTTGAATGAAGTCCTAAATTCTCAAGGATCTCCATATTCTGACCTCATCCTGCCTCTTTATCCTTTTTTCTCAATCCTCCCAAACTATACCTACTCATCAGAGTGGTCTCACCATCCTCCAGTTGCATGTGAATTCCTGCTGTAGTTGCTTATTCTGGTATGCCTCCTTTTCTCCATTTGCCCTTATAACTGTTAGTTCAAAATCCAGCTCAAATTCAATCAACTCCATGAAGCATGCTGTAATTTTTTTTTTTTTTTTTTAGCTGCTGTGATCTCTCACTCTTGAACATAGCGGTGATCTACCTAGCAATTGATACATTTCTCTAGTCCTTAGACGCAATAAAACCCTAAATCTCAGCGGTTTAACGGTAGAAGTTATATTCATGGGCTGGGGATGTGGCTCAAGCGGTAACACGCTCGCCTAGCATGCGTGGGGCGCTGGGTTCGATCCTCAGCACCACATGAAAATAAAATAAAGATGTTGTGTCCACCGAAAACTAAAAAATAAATATTAAAAAAATTCTCTCTCTCTCTCTCTCTCTCTCTCTCTCA